TCCTAGTAGCAATGCCCTTGTTACTAGTAGCTTCTTGCTCCTAGTAGTAATGCCAGGAGCTACTAGTAGCATACGTTTTGTGGATCTAAATTCATGAACACCAATAGGTGGCGCTACGAAGAAAAAGACAAGAGCAAATGCAATCAGGGCCAAGTGACGTCTTATACAAGCACAGTTTGCATAATCGTACCTTCGTGATTGTGCTTTCAAGAATTGGATTCAAGAAGGATGAAACACACAACAGAACCCTCATGTCAAACATTAAAGGTAACAGGCTAGCTTGCTACAAGGTCCTCTGCATTGTCAGTTGGACGGTGTGATTCTTGGGAGATCAAGGACCCCTGAAGAATGTTTCAGTCCAAAGTTTCGACGGAACAGCTTCTCAACCCCGAAAGATCACGACGGTTGCCCTTATAAGCTTGGCTGTGTTCTCAAGGCTACTTGCTTTTGGGGGGCTTGTGCTTCTTGCGCTTCAGCTCCAAAGCCCGCAAAACAGAAGGGCGGGACACCGAATGTCACGAGAACGACGTTAGTGACAGCGTCATCTCCCGCCTCCTCATCGTAGCCCTCTGCAACTCGCCAGAGAGCTGCCTTGCAAAGTCGAGAAAGACATGACGATCTGAAAGACATCACTCAAAGTGCAAGAGAAATGAAGGGCAAGGTCATGGTGCCTGAATATCCATATACGTTCCAACAATCCCTCAAGATCGGAGGGCTCTTGAGAAAAACCACATGAACCAGGAACCACGTGTCTGTTTGACCAACTGAGTTGCTCGGCTTTTTGGACGGACACGAGACATTGGACCCAAAAAACACATCGATTTGAGAAAAAGTGGAGAAAACAGAGAAGCATATGAAGCCCAAGGGGTTTAACCGTTCACCTTGAATTGTGAGAACCACCAGGATCTCTCAAAGAACCCAAGCAACTGTCTTGTCCCAACACATTGAATCTATACTGTGGGTCCAAACAACCACTCTGCATGTCCAATCCAATTGAACTCAACAGGCTCCTTTGGATGGGTTCAGACATGTCAAGATCAAACAGACTCCTTTCCAATCAGCTGTCACTAGGGCTGCTGCAGTCTGCGACCCTCCTGGCAGAAACCAAAGAAACTGGAGTGATGGGCCGCATGGGGATGCGCCTCATAGGCCTCATGGGCCTCATGCAAACAAGGAAAACAAATTCCAAGGACATCCGGTCTGGATATGTCCTCGCATTTTACAAAGTATGTGACACAGAATACAACCTGGGCCTTCGAAGTCTTCTGACCCGATTCATTTGTGAATACAAAACAGAAAACTGTTCTTGCATTTATTTTGATCCACTCATTCATGTTTTTCTGTTTTTATCATAATATAAGTGGATCGATGATCAAAACAGAAACGCATATTTCGAAACGGATCTCAGGAATCCAAACATTTGGAGACGAACTCCCCCCCGCACCCACCTTCTCCAAGGCATCCGTGGAGACCACCTGTCACGCGGGTGATTGTCGAGGACTCACATGAGAAAGGGAAATATGACCAAAGGGAATAGCGATGGCCTCCCACCTAGTACCGATGGCCTCCAACCCAAGGGAATGCGGTGCTTTGCTGTTTCCCAAGTCGTTGAATGTCGTTTTATTCACAAACAAGGAGCAAGAGGACGCTACGAACGGGGCTCCTGGCATCGCTACGCACGGAGCGATCGGACGCTTTTCGGTTGATGGATAACACTTTCGAAACCAAATTCCATGCACGGTTCGATGGTCGCCAGGTTAGACTGGCCTCGGTGCGGGGTTTCAGGCCGCTGAAGTCTTTCTTCTCGTCCCTGGCGTCGCGACACGGGACACCCCTCCGCCTCCGGAGCCTCCGAACAGGGAGAATTTCGCGGATGTGCTTGACCAAATCCTCCGGAAAACTGGTGCTGGGCAAGACTCTGGCCCTGGCTGAGAAGCTTTTTGATGCTTTTTGCACTGTTCATTTATTCTTGATATTTTTCGAGATCATTGGATGATATTGGATGATATCGGACCATTCGTGCCAAAGTCGTGGGACAACGGAAAGCCCCTCGCGACATGTCCGCCGATCGGCACATTCGGAGGAGTCCCATGAAGCTCGCGGATGGGTCGGAGGAGTCCCAGTTCGCCTGAGGGCCCAAGACCTTAGGGAACAAAGCCGGGGTGGGCCGGGTCAGCGGCTTTTGCATGACAGAGCTGCACTTCACACCGGGCTTCACCTCGATGTTCACATGTTTGCTCCATAAGACTGCAAACTGAGTCGGAAACCAGGTTGACGGAGGGACATATATCACCAATCTGTGCTTTTGGATCTGGTTCTCTTCACTCGTGCCATATCCAAACACTTTGCGGCCCACAGCTGGGGCTCGAGTGAAGAGAACCAGCTCCAGAAGCAATCCAAATGATATCAGGACTACTGGCCTCGCACCCGTACCCTCATGCTTGAGCTTTGCTGTCATCATGTTCATCACAAAGTCCACCATGAGCGATGACAGGACCTTTGATCAACCAACTTGTTGTGCCATTCTTGTTGTGCCAGTGGGTTGTGGTTGATTGCCATCCCACTAGGTGTGCTGCCACTCAAACGAGTGGGGCTTGGACTCCCAACCAAGCGTTGTCATCAGCCTCTGAATAGCAGTGGTGAATCGATTGGGTCCGTACGGCTGTTTCCCAATGAGGACAAGCGAAATCTCGTTGCTGAAGAGTAGTGAGTTGAGCATTTCACTCAGGTGGCCGCAGTACAGCTTGCTCATAGCCAAGACGATTTTGGGAAAATATTGTCTGGCTGCATTAACCTCTTCATGTCTCAGCACGTAACCACAGTGTCCTGGTACACAACAGCATCATTTGGAGCTTCCTCTTCAATCGGACGTTCGAACTCAAGAAAGTCAAGATCGCTCATCGCCATCATCTCCGCGAACCAGAGCTCGAAACTGCCAAGGAATGTGATAGGATCAGGTAGGACGCTTGGAGCACCTACAAAGGTGCCGGTGTCTCGAAGGTGATGCGAAAGTCCATCAATGATGACCCTCTTTGAAGGTTCCGCCAACCTCCGAACCACCCCAATTTCTGCCAAAAACGGTATACCACTGCATATCCCACCTCGTATGCCCTCTGTATCATAGACATGCGATGAAGATTTCACCAGAAGTTATTACAGCCCTCGGCAAAAAGCATCCTTGCAAACTTCCACCTAAATATATTCATCATATTCTATGTGGAGGTTGTTTCGAAGTGGCGAAGACTGATTTACGTCTTTTCCGGTGAGTGTGTGCCTAGACTGGCGTTGTCTGTATCCGTTCTCCACCTATCTGGGCATCCCAACTGGTCCCAGAAGGGTGCTGGGCTGGTCGTCTCCCAGAAGTGCTCCTCGTTCCCCCGAGGAGTAGCTGAGAGGGTGGGAGGATGCTGAGAGCGGGGCCAAAGAAAGGAGTCTTTGACGCGGTCTGGAGTTGTAAGTCGTCAGTCTCCCTGAATCTTGCAGAGAAAAAGCCATTATTGGCAGGTTGATGAGTGCTCAGAAGTTCTTGGAAACTCAAGAAATCGAAGAGTCATCAAAAACGGACTTAGGAAGTGACTCTCATCCAACCTAATAGCGATGGCCTCCAACCAACTAGCAATATCGAAAGCGGACTTAGGAAGTGACTGTGGCTGTGTTAAGTTTCTAGAGACTCCTCACGCTTGAGCGTCAACATTGGGCTTGAATTTGAGGCCCCCAGTATCTAGGTTCTTTGCCGGGACAACGGAATGGCCGTTGGACAAAATATCAGTTAATCTAAAAGACTCACCCAGACCCAACTAAAAGTGACAATGGAAAGAAACCATACAACATCACGCGCCTGCAGTCTTTCGCAACATCACGCGCCTGACTCTTTTTTGAGTCGTTCATCTTCTCATTTGCCTCGTCACTCCCCGGGTGGAGAGTGTCTCACGCCAGCTCCAAGACCAAGCCGACAGGGTCGCCGGCGCCTAGGCAAACAAACACACACGGATGCCGTGAGGCCTAGCGTCCTTGCTCCTAATAGCGATGCCAGGAGCCCCTAGTAGCTTCGTGTTCCTAGTAGCGATGCCAGGAGCTACTAGTAGCATCCTCGCTCCTAGTAGTGTGTGCTTCTATCCTTCCGTGGGCCTCGATGAAACTTGGCTTCAGACTCGTCAGGATGCTTCACCTGGGACCGAGCAGCTGAACCGTTGCACGTGGCAAGCTTCCTGTCACCGAAATCCCTGTCAATCTATTGGGGACCTGACATACACCCCAAAAGCTCTGGTTCAGTGGCAGATGTCCGAACAAACATCGCTGAACCGTGGATTCGGACTTTCCAATGCTAGGGACGTTCCACGCTACGTGAAATGACATGACGTTCGACATGACGTGACGAGTCGACCCAACGCCTCGTTCACCGTGAGGCCGGTCCATCGTGAGGTCGCGCACCTGCGGTGAGAGAGAAACCGTTTTGGGGGATGTGAGAGAGAAACCAACCGAAGTGTAAACTTCATGCAATTTGTGATGATCTATGACATCGTCTGACCAAAACGGTCTCATGTTTTCCGACAAACAGGGAATATGCAGACCCTTGAAACAAAAGTTGGAATTTTGGGGCTGTCTATGAATGCTTCGTTCGGGTCAGCATAGGAAAAGGACCATTCATTTCATAGCAATCGGGCCATAAGAAGAATTGGCTGGTCACTTCGCGACATCCAACTATTCAACTGAGTGTAACGAAGTGCAACGAAGTCCGTTGCCAACGATCAGAGCGCGATCCTTCGCGGATGGGTCTTTCCATGTCTTCATCCATTCTGCTCATCTTGGTGGTGAAAAACATTTAAAAAAACACGACCCCCCTGAAGCCTCAGCCCAAAGATCCACAAGATCTTGCGGTTGCAATGCCTCGAGCAGTCGAAAGAGTTGAATAGGACACTGGACACCTTCGAAGAACGAACGGAATTCATTTGGAATGATTTAATTGAAGGTGATTTGCACGGCACGCGGCTGGGAAGACAACTATATAGACAACTATAGACATTGCCAATATCTGCAGATCTTCATGCAGGTTGTGATGTTCTTTCCCAGTTGTTCTCCAGCCTCCAGGGAGCCTTCAGAGTCCTAACCATGCGAGTGTCACCGCTGGAGGTGATGCACTGAGTGGGTAGGTTTGCGGCATTTTCAGAACTTTGAACCGCTGGAGACGTTGTTGTGGTCTCGGATATGAAAGGTTCAGAAACGTTCTGTTGGACGATGATATCTTCAGTGGAATTTCTGCACCCGAATGGATGAAAGATACTGAAAAGTAGGAGCGCCAAGCCGTGGTTGCTAAAAGTCTTTCCAAGGTTACAAAGAAAGGCATTCCATTGATGGTCGAACAAGGACTCCTTCAAGAATCCTTCAGCGCCTAACCAATCAGCTCATGTCCGATCCGCAGGTGTCCTCCCGCGACAGCAGGCGGGACACTGCCGGCTGATCCCCATCCTGGCTCTGAGAAAAATGTCGGAAAACGAAAGAACGAACCCCATTGAAAAATGAAAGTGATGAACCCCATGTTCAAACTATGCCTACAATGGGAAGTTTATTCTGCATTATTCTGCATATTTATGCATCCAATTACTTGAATTCTGTCTCATGACTCGGTGACCAGCTCCCAGTTGACCGACTCTCTTCCGTCGCCCTCCACCGCTTGCCTTGGTGACCAGCAGTACCGGTGTATCCGAGGTCTCAGCCAGTTGCTCGGCGTCGGGGCTGGGACCCACATTCGCTCTCCTGGCACAACTTGAGGCATAGTTGTAGTTGATGGGCGCCTAAAAATATAGCTGTGAGCGAAGGCTTTGTTTTGAGCACCCAAAGCACTCAGAAAAGATCAAGCCTGCTGGATGGGTCGGGGATCGGATTCCTCGAGCTTTCCTGTGGCTCTAGTGTCTCCAGTGGGGACTCCTGTCCGGACTCCCCCATCTCCTGCGGGTGGCGCGAGGTGCCATGCTTTCAGTGCCCTTCTCAGGCCTTAAAAGCAGGCTCACACGGCTCCTTGAATGAAATCTGACTCTTCACGAATCCAAAGCCGTTCTAGATCTCTTAGATAATCTACATGTATGTGGCCAAGATGGGTGGAAATAGACATCTTTCGAAGTATATCCTCCATTCACCCATTCTGGCCCTGGGCCTAAACTCCCGACACAACACAATGGAGTCGTGTTTTGATATAAACTAAGACCACGACTCCTCCAACGGATAGGCCTCAAGAAACGCATGGAATCGCAACAGGGTCAATGAACTAGGGAGCGTCAGAGCGTCACCAAACAATGAAAGAGGCGCTTGGATGTGCAGCTGAGCTCGCCATAACTCGCCCCGATGGAGCAGCAGCGTCGAGAGACCTGGCACAGCTTGGGGCCTGGCACAGCCGAAGATCTCTGTGAAGATCGGCCTCAGAAATCCGAATCTTCTCGATTCCCTTGCATCTTGCCAACATCATGTACCGAAAATGAAGGAGAAAGGCAAGTGAGACCACAAACAGCCACAAAACCAAAGTGGACTGGATCAACAAGAAAAAATCCAAGGGGACATGTCATCATCTTTCATCTCAGCTTTCGGCATCTCGATGCACAGCAACAAGCTTTTCATGCTCGCCAGGAACTGTTGACGGCTCAACCTGGGGATGATGAGTTCAACGACGACGCAAAGGTTTCGACGACGCAACGTCGCCAACCTGTACCGTCTTTCAAGATCGAACCTCGATGTTCGGATCAGTTGAAGGAAAATCTATGAAATAAATCTATCTGGCATGAATCCGTTCATGATCCATCCATGAACAATCCGTCTAGATCTATGCTGTCAAAAGAAGATGGAAGAGATCTTGAATGGATCCATTCGGACGTGAACCTGACACTTCAGATGCTGCTTATGACGATATTCGTAGTAATTACTGTAGTTCCGATGTACTGATATCGGCTGATATTCGCATACACAAAGGATAGGAAAAACTCTGTAGAATCCGGAAGTGCCATCTACAGCGAGAAATATTCATGAATATTCACTATCTGACCAAGTGCGAAACTCGCTTTCGTGATGAGCATGCGCATCCTGGCATGCAGCAGTGTGGAGACGCAAGGGTGTCAAGTCTGGGATGTTCTTTTATGCTTCATTGGTGGCATTTGAGCATTGTCCTCCGAAAGTTAAACATGGCAGACTGCTTGGTGGGATTGGGAATAATATGGAATAATGAGCATTGATGAGCATTGTCCTCTGCCGATGCACTCTGCCATTTATATATCAAAGCTGTCACAGGGGACCACTCTGCGAGATTCTGCTGTCGGGTCTGAGAAACCAAAGCCGCGAAGCCAAGACACCTTCGGATGTGGATAGCACACGAAGCTGCCGACTGCGTCAACCTCCCGCTGGTGCCAGAGGTCATCGATCCACATTGATCAATCGGCAAGACTGGAGAACACTGGGTAAACATGGGGGAAACACTGCGCTGATGTTGTTGAAGTGGTACTGTTCACTGGGCCTGTGCACCTCTATGTACGACTACAAACAGCTCCCAACAGACCTTTGTCTCCAAAAGCCTGGACCAAATTCATGAAGCTAGTAGTAACAAGTGCCACGCTAGTAGTAACAAGAAGCTAGTAGGTTTTTTACCTTGTTTTTTAAATGCTGTTTGTGTTGTATGAGACCTTCGGAAACTAGTAGTAACAGGTGCCTTACTAGTAGTAACAAGTGCCTTACTAGTAGTAGCAAGAAGCTATTAATTTTTGGACCTGATGTGACTGAGACCTGAGACACCCCGCACAACTGTTCACGTTGAACAAAACTCCTCCGGAACTCCAGATCTTAGTCTGGTCTTACTGCAACATGTGCTTCCCATCGAAGCCCCTTGTAACCTTGTACGTACACCTTTGCTTCATGCGAAGCCACCCTGACACTCCCACCCGAGCCCAGCACCAGAAATCCCTGGAAGAAGGTGAGGAAAATGATGCAGTTGATCCCCAGAAACTTCAAGACCTGTGACAAGAAGCAAGAAAATGATTTGGGTGGCTGCACGGGGAAAAGACTGCACGTGTATTTTAAGCTTTGGAAGTCAGAGAAGGCACTTTCGAAGCATAATGAAGGAAGTCTTACGACCGAGTAAATTAGTAAAGCAGACTCAGTTGCTGCGATTCAAGTGTCGTCTTCTGAAGTGTCGAAGGTGACGAACAGTACCGCGGCCCGCACCACTGTCCGCACAGTGGTCCGCTAAGGCTGGGACTGGCTTCAGTTTCTCCAAGTACT